CCTAGACCAGGCCTCCACCCCCAGGAAGCAGCCCGTGACAGCTAACACCCAGGTACCTATTTACTGCTAGGTAACAGGAGCATAGGGTGAAAGAAACTCTGCCCATCGTTTCTCGCTGGCGCCCGGGATCGAACTCTGGACCACAGGATCATAAGTCCAGTGTGCTGTCCGCTCGGCCGACCGGCTCCCATAACTTTCCAACATTTATAGACATGATTATGAAAATATTTAACAAATGTAATCTGTACCTATAAGAAAGAATGTCTGTTTGTCTGTCTGTCCAAAGCTGGAGGCCAGCGCTTGGCGGCAGCCTCGCCCATATTTGCTGGTTGAATGTTCAGGGTTACGCAATGGAAACAGGCTGGTCGGGCTAAGCCTATGTTTAATGCTTTAAGAAATATTAACAATTATAAACACGCATAAGACAATTTTAGTGGAGTCTTTCATAGAGGGATGTGTGAAATATGGCTTGAATAGAGTTGTACTAAAAACAACTTTTTTTTTTTAAATAAAAAATAAAATAAAAATAACTAAAAACAAGTTGTTACTTGTTTCAGTGCTGCTTGAGGGGAAATGCAGGGGGTAAGAGAGGAGGAGGAGGCGGACGGATATATCTACATAGATATATATAGGAAGAGGTAGAATTTGAAGAGTTAGAGAGTGAGGGAAAGGGAAGACCGACAGACCCAGACAATACCTGGTACCCGTTAGTGTCCAATGAAATAAAAACAACAAACTCATCACCTCAATTATGTACTATGGCTCGATGTGAACTGAATATGTAATCAGCTATACATGTTATATTTAAGAAATTGTATGTCGTGAAATTTAACCCACCATTAACACTCAAATAACAGAATTATATTTTCTCATACTATGCGAGTGAGAGCAAGACCGGAACGCGAACAAAGCAACGATAACGTAACTGTCCAAAATGCCACGTCCACTACAGTCACCCGGGTGTAGTGGGAATTCTTCTGGAGCAATGGACATGGAGCCTCTTGCTGACCGGGTTCGAATCCCTCAGGGGTCAAAGTTTTCTGATGCGTGTTTGCTTGGGGACAATTCAAGCTTGAATATATATATTCAAGCTGGGTTATACAAGCAACATTATAACATGCTTGTATATATATATATATATATATATATATATATATATATATATATATATATATATATATATATATATATATATATTTATATGTATATATATATATATATATATATATATATATATATACATATATATATATATATATATATATATATATATATATATATATATATATATATATATATATATATATATATATATATATATATATATATATATATGTTTCAGCGTCTCAGTGTGGCAATCCAGAGGGAAAATGCTTGCTGCGTCCTCGGTTCCTGTCCAGAAGCGGAGGAGCTTCAAGAGATCCATAACCTTTAGGCATTTGTCTTGTATGTTTTGTAACCTTTAAATACACAATAAAGGGGAAAAAAAGGGAAGGGGGTGGTAGGAGAAAAGCACACAGAAACTGTATTATAGGGGACCTACATTCCCTCCAATGCGTTATGTGTGGTTTCCTCTGAGGCTATGGGTGCCCCTTCTTCCAGCCAGAGGTGGTACTCCCTTCCCTTTTTATATATATACATATATATATATATATATATATATATATATATATATATATATATATATATATATATATATATATATATATATATATATATATATATATAATATATGTTATTGAATATGACCGAAAAGGAAAGATTAATAATTCTAACACGAATTTTCTCAATATTTCTTATGTTTTTCTTCAATGTCGGTGGTAATAAAAATATCAATTCTCCAAAATTAATTTTTTAATTGTCTGACGCCTGAACGCGCTTCGTAATGCTTATTACAATTTCAAAGACTTAATTTACACACAGATTCATCGAACTTATAATCTTTTTGGGTGAGGTGATATGGTACAAAGTTTTGGGTGAGGTGAACAAACTTATGACAAACACAAGATAGAACATGGAACAATGGGTATAAATTGGATATGAGAACTGCAGAAGGCCTATTGGCCTGTACTTCCTCTTGTTGCTTCCATGTTGGTTCGGAGTCTTGAAGTGGGTAGAATATAGTTATGCATTAATTGGCTGTTGATTGCTGGTGTTGATTTTTTGATGTGTAGTGCCTCGCAGATGTCGAACCGCCTGCTATCGCTGTACCTATCGATGATTTCTGAGTTGTTTGTTAACGCACAGCAGAAATCAAACAACAAACAAACACAGAAAACAAACACTTAACAAGCTGAGGGGACAGCGGGCAGGACTCGTAATTCTGCATCCCGCTACCCAAGCCAGGTAGAAACATATGGGCAAAGTTTTTTTCACCCTGATGCCCCTGTTACCTAACAGTAAATGGATACCTGGGAGTCAGACAGCTGTTACGGAGCTGCTTCCCGGGGGGGGGGGGTGAAAAAATATTAGCTCGTAGTTAGTTACTGATGATTGATTGACAGTTGATAGGCGAGCCGAAAGAGCAGAGCTCAACCCCCGCAAGAACAGCTTGATGAATACACACACACACACACACACACACACACACACACACACACACACACACACACACACACACACACACACACACACACACACACACACACACACACACACACATATACGGAGTTTATGTATATATTTGGTATACGGAGTATACCACAAATCACAATATGTGGTATACTCCGTATACCACATGTAAGACCAATCCTGGAGTATGCGGCCCCAGCATGGAGCCCGTACCTTGTCAAGCACAAGACGAAGCTGGAAAAAGTTCAAAGGTATACCACTAGAATAGTCCCAGAACTAAGAGGCATGAGATACGAGGAAAGGCTGTGAGAAATGCACCTTACGACACTGGAAGACAGAAGAGTAAGGGGAGACATGTTCACTACCTACAAAATCCTCAGGGGAATCGACCGGGTAAACAAGGATAAACTATTCAACACTGGTGGAACGAGAACAAGGGGACACAGGTGGAAACTGAGTACCCATATGAGCCACAGGGACAATAGAAGGAACTTTTTCAGTGTCAGAGTAGTTAACGGATGGAATGCATTAGGCAGTGTTGTGGTGGAGGCTGACTCCATACACAGTTTCAAATGTAGATATGATAGAGCCCAGTAGGCTCAGGAATCTGTACACCAGTTGATTGACAGTTGAGAGGCGGGACCAAAGAGCCAAAGCTCAACCCCCGCAAGCACAAATAGGTGAGTACACACACACACACACACACACACACACACACACACACACACACACACACACAAAACCCCCACCTACCCCCAATTCCCCCCTAACTAATACACCCTCTCTTCCACTCGCAGCACTCATGCTCCATTCTCCTCTCAGCCCTCTATCCCTCTCCCCCCCCAACCTCTCAACCTCTATCTGACTCTCAGTCTCACTCTATTTCTCTACCCCCCTATGCATTTCAGACCCCTAACTTTCAGACCCATTATGCCCTTCCTATACCCCCTAGATGCCTAGACCCCATTCGCCTACCAGGTACTCCCAGGCACCCCCCTAGCACCCCCCCATTCACCCCCACAGCCCCCACTCGCCCCCCAGACACCCCCCTAGTTCCCCCCAGACCCCCGGTGAAAGGGGGAACTCTGACACTCGAGTTTCCAAGAAGAGTCTCAAGGTTTGGTACACCAATGCTGATGGGGTAGCCAATAAAGCAGAAGAGATAAAAGAAATAGTTAGTGAGGCAGTCCCAGACATAGTGGCAATAGTGGAAACTAAAATAAATGCCATGATCTCAGATGCAATCTTTCCAGAGGGGTACCAGGTGATAAGAAAAGAAAGGACACAGAGACAGGGAGGAGGAGTGGCACTACTAATAAAGCGGAAATGGAAGTTTGATGAGCTGGAAAATCCGGGTACCAATGAAAGCACAAGCTTCATACATGGAACTCTGACAGTGGATGGGAAGAAGATTGTAATCTTGATACTCTACAATCCCCCACCAAACAGTAGAAGGCCCAGGCAGGAGTACGAGGACAGCAACAAGACATGTATAGATGAACTGCAGAGGGCAGCAACTATAGCGCATAGAATGAGAGCGAAGCTGCTGGTCATGGGGGACCTAAATCACGGAGAGATAGATTGGGAAACGAGGAATCCCCATGGCGGGGAGGAGACCTGGGGAGCGAAGCTGGTAGACGTTATTGACAGGAATTTCCTAACACAGCATGTGAAGGAAGATACTAGGGAAAGAGGAGGGGATACGCCCAGCCTATTAGATCTCATTTTCACCCAGAATGTAGAAGACATCGAGCAGTTGGAACATGAAATACCACTAGGAGTCAGTGACCATTGTGTCCTAGTCTTTGACTACATGATGGAGCTTAAAATTGTGACCAAAGGACAAGAGGTCCGGAAAAGGAGATTTGATTACAGAAAAGGGGGACTACAGAAGAATAAGGGACTACCTGGGAGAAGTGAAGTGGGAGGAAGAACTTAGAGGAAAAACAGTGCAAGGTATGATGAACCAAGTCATATTGAAATGCAAGGAGGCTGAAGAGAGATTTATTCCAACAATAAAGGAAAAAAGCAGGAGGAAATATAATAACCCATGGTTTAATAGACAGTGTCAGGAAGCAAAGGTGAGAAGCAGGAGGGAGTGGAGGAAGTACAGAAGACACAGGACAGAGGACAACAGGATTAGATGTAAGAGAGCTAGGAATGATTACATTAACATAAGACGAGTGTCGGAAAGAAATTATGAGAATGATATTGCAGTCAAAGCGAAAAAGCAACCTAAACTACTACATAGCCATATAAGAAGGAAGATGTCGGTAAATGACCAAGTGACAAGACTGAGGAAAACAGAAGGGGCATATACAGAAAGCGACAAGGAAATCTGCGAGGTACTGAATGCAAAATTCCATGGAGTGTTCACAACCGAGCCTGAGCAGCTCCCATTGTTAGAAGCTAGATATATCTATATCAGA